GGCTGGACGCGGGCATGAAGAACGTCCGGAATGCAAGATCCACCTCAAGCCTTGCAACGGCAGCTCCCTATTTGCGTCAATAGGCCCAGAAAATTGTCCTTTTTTGGCGGAAGCGACGGGCGTTGGTACCATTGACGTGCGGAAGGTATTCGTTTTCAACCCTGCGCGGGCATGGTTATTGCTGCCTTTCTTTTTTGGGAAATGACATTTTATCGGCAGGGAAATGGCCTTTTCGACCTTGAGGGCTGCAGATACTTTTCCAAATCCACAACCTCCTGCCCCATTATTTGTCAAAATTTCCATCCAAACGCCTTTCCCGTCCTTTTTCCGTACAGTATGGTGGCGATAAAATCTACGAAAGGAAAAGAAATGAATTTACTTTATTCAAGGTATTTGTAAGTTGTCCTTTCTACGACCCAGCTAGGAGAAGAGAATGAGATGGTAGCCTATGATAGAAAGCGTTCTCGTTTCCAAAGAAAACTTACCTTTCGATGAAATTAAGCTATGCTGACCGTGTAATAATTTTTGTTGAAGTATTGGATGGTTTGAATTCATTGTTGTGATCCTATAAAGTTTACTTACAAGTTTTCCTGCACTAACCAAGTAAGAGACGCGTACAATTAAAATGATACCAAGCACCCCTCAAACACCAGGAGGACCTTTACAAATGGCTACCACCGCAAATAGAGGAAAAGTATCGTACATTTAGTCATATACGTAAGAAATTGACATGAGGATGGCTTGAAATGCTAAAATGGGATGACCAATGTAATGTAGTAATGAGGCATACGCCTCACGGAGCAGTAAGCAAGGGAGAGTATACGCTTCCCATGTAATAAACTTTTGAACGGAATGCCGAAAATAATATGAGTCAAGAAATTCGTCTGCCACGCGTTTTGGTCTTGAAATATATTGCTCCTACATTTCCCAAGACGATTCACGCTGTTTTCTCACCATCTTCAAAACACCCGTGCGATGCGAACCAACTTTGTGTGTAAGGCTTTATTTGTTCAATAATATCATTTCAAGCAATCGTGCCATTGCAAGCATTTCGTCCCCTTCACTGCGACTGCTGTTGAAAATCGTCTTGGTACAATTAAAGACGAGTGAGGCCCCTTCATATTCACCAAGAAATGTCTGACGAGTGATTACTTCTAGCCTGTTAACACGCTTTTGATTGATAATGAGCGTACTCTTACCAGAGTGCACGCCTTTCCAAAAAATCCCGACTTAGAGCCCGGGATTCACAGAATCATCGTCTCGTGTCATAAACATTGAATCGCGCCCTCAGCAATGACACCAGGTGCGCGCTGTAATCCAGGACGGAGGATGGTAGAGGACGTTTGCTTGTTGTTTCACGCTCAAGCATGCTGATAATTATGAATGGTCCTTCCGCAGTAGAAAAAGAGTATGCGTTCAGGTATGAGCTAAAATTAGAGCCCTTATTACCCACCTTCGCTAGCGAAGCGAATCTTATCAAAATTTATCTTCATTATCATTTCGCAGCTTACCGAAGAAAGAACATGCCATATATTAAAAATCTGGGGGATGTTCGAAAGAATTTTGAAGCCTACAGCCCGTACTTCTCCAATTTTTCAAGGCATTTCCGAACTCTCGGTGAGGGTCAGTACTAGGGGATCAACACTCCTTCAATAAAACGCATTTAACACGCATCCAGACGCATTAATCTTATTATGTGTATATTGGCATTACATTACATTTAAGAAATCGTCCTGTTCCCTTTTTGTCGCGCGAGTTTGTGTCCTTTCGAATATTAACCTCCTGCTGTCGCGTCTCCTCGTCATCCTTTGGCGAGCTTCCATCTTTCCCCTTCTGCCTTGCTCCTTGGGCTGCTTTGAGTGGACCTTGGGACGGTGTGCCGACCGATCTATACATTGAAATACTCAGGGACGAGCCTTGACATCCTGAAATGTGATGCGAATGTGCCCTGCGCCTGAACGAGACCATTTCATCCCTTCCCTGTTTTGTACATCATACAGCACCTCACCTCACATGAGGTCGTTGGAGTCATGCAACAGGGAACCAAAAATGTAAGCGAGAGCGCCGATGGCAATGGAAAGGAATCCAACAAAGGTCAGTGTGGTTGTATCTTGATTTTCATGTGAATTTTTACATGGAATGGTCGCATGGCAGCTAATTTATTTTCTCATCGTGTCCACGCCTAGACCGGCGCCCTCGAGGACGTGGTCCCACCGCTAGAAGCAGTAATTTTCGCAAAAATTACGGTGCGCAGGGCAAAGACAACAATGTGCAACCGCTTTCTCCTCCGTTTCCTGTCTCAAAAGCCAAGAAGAAGGATGCTTTAACTCCTTCCCATGGCAGTGGTCCGGAAGAGGAGGCGGCCCTTGCCAAGAAAAAGATGGAAGAAGCAGAAGCAGCAGCCAAGGCTCAGGAAGAAATCGCACAGAAGCGACGACAAGAGGAAGAAGCTGCCAAGGTGGAGAAGCAGCGGCAGGCGCAAACGGAGGCGAGGAAGCAACTTGAAGAGCTGGAGAGGGTGGAGGAGGTAAGGGGATAGAAGGGGCACAGGGCCCTCAGGCTATGTTTGCGGGAGAAGGTTGCGCAGCGGCATTAAAGCAAGGATTTCTCACGCAACGTTCTACCTTTTGACCCTTACTGATACTCTTGCCCTCCTCACCTCCTCTTCCCTCCTCCTTCCTACCGCATCATTCCCCCTGCCTGCCATCCTTACCCCAGGCACGTGCCAAGCTTCGGCTGTTGAACGCTCCGAGCGCAGCACGGGCCTCGCGGGCCGCGCACGAAGCGGGCTTGAGGCAGCTAAAATCGGACCTGAAGCGGACGACAGCCTTCATCAAACGGGTCAGGACAGGCCTG